TACCAGGTTGATCGCAGTCCTCGGGGGAGGACTTGTCCTGGAGGAGGTGGGAATGGGGGGTAGGCTGGGGGTAAGGGGAGGGGGTGGGAGGGGGGAGAATAGGGGAACCCGTGGCTGATGTGTAGAACTGAATGGTATTGTAAAATAAAATAAAATAAAATAAAGAAAAAAGAAAAGAAAAAAAGAACACAGTCCTCTAAGCCTCAACCAGCTGGTCCTCCTGCCCCTTCTCCAGGCTGCATCTCTCCAGTGGGCGGCCTCAGCAGCCTGCTCTACCTGAGGTCTCGCTTCGCTCTAACCAGAACTGCACACTGTTTCCAAAGGGACCTTCCCAAAGTCCCCAGGGGTGCTTCCTGCTACAGAGAAGGTCTAAACTAGGGTTGCTTCACCCCAGGCCCACCACGATCTATCCTGATCATCTTTCTGAGTCTTCTTACCCCACCTGCTTCACCCATCTCAACTGCCTGCTCCCACCTGCCGGGGATGCCATCCTGGCTTGCCCGTGTGGTTCTCCCCGCCTGGATTTCACCGCCTCACCAAGTCCACGGAGTTACTGATCACCTTCTGATCTACTGAATGCCACCTCCTCTCTGAGGTTCTTCCAGACAAACCAACTATTCTCTCCTCTCGGTCCTGGCTTATACTTCTCAGGTCTCACTTAACTCATTTTTCATTGCTCTCCAAAATAGATTGGTAGGCTCTTTCTAGTACCAGCTTTTAAAAAAATAATTTATTTAAATTTAATTTATTGGGCTGGAGAGATGGCTCAGTAGTTAAGAGCACTGACTGCTCTTCCAGAGGCCCTGAGTTCAATTCCTAGCAACCACATGGTGGCTCACAACCATTTGTAATGAGATCTGGTGCCCTCTTCTGGCCTGCAGGGACACATGCAGGCAGAATACTGTATACATAATAATAAATCTTTAAAAATAAATAAATTTATTTTATGTGCATTGGTGTGAACGTGTCAGATCCCCTGGAACTAGAGTTACAGACTGTTGTGAGCTGCCATGTGGGTGCTGGGAATTGAACCTGGGTCCTCTGGAAGAGCAGCCAGTGCTCTTAACCTCTGAGCCATCTCTCCAGCCCCTCTAGCACCAGCTTAATGGGGTTCACTGTCCCCCACCTGGCACACAGTAGGTACCAGACAAGCACAGGCTGTCTGGGTGGAAAAAGAAGCCCAATCATGGCCGACAGAGTACAAAGTGCTCTGCAAATACATGGAAAGGACTTGGCATTGTTTTTCTTGGCTCCAGTATCAACACATACAGATTCAGTGACCTTGCTCTCTTGCCAGGCTGGGGTGTGACCACGTCCAAAGGCCAGGAGCCTCAGCCTAGGGCAAGGTAGGCACAGAATATGAAGGCCATTGCTCAACACAGAGTTACCCAGGTCACTGAGTGTCAACGTGGCGTCTGCCAAGTGACTCACTGTGGAGAGCAGCAGAAAGCTCTCCACTCTGCAGGGCCAGGGAGGAGGAACCGAAAGAGGCAGGAGGCAGGCTCCATGACCTCTTCCAGAGCTGGCCCAGACCTCCCTCCCGAGGTGTGCTGCTTGTCATCCTGCAAGAATGTGGGACAAGCACAAAGTTGCTGAAGAGGACCAGCCCAGAACACTAACACCAGGGGACAGGACACGGCCAACTCCGAGAGACACAGAGTGGATCTGCTCCAAGGCAGCAGTCCTGGGCTGCCCAGAGATGAGCTACAGTGGACTCCCTTCCGCACGCTTCTCAGTCAGGCTGCTGGCTCAAGTCTGCCATGGTCTGGTTCTTCCAAAGGTGAATTGAGACACTGGTGTGGGCCTCCACCTTCCCCCCTGTGCTACATCTGTCCCCATCGCATCCTCCCCCATCCTCCGCACCTCCCACCCCCACCCTGCTTCCAAGCAAAGCTGCCACCATGCCTCTCCAAGAATTCTAAGCCCACTGTTTCTAGTAA